ATCTACGAAGTATTTCTGGTTTTAAGGGTATAACACAATAGTGTTGTAAAATATTCTCAGTTTATAAGTTGAAACTTTCCATGACCGGTCTTCGATGATATAAATTTTCTAGTACATTTTTATGTGTATTTTTATGTACATATGTGGAGTTCACATACAGTAGTACAGAAGGAGATGTTTAAAAAGGTGATGGGTACACATAATTTCATTAATAGTATTTATTTTTTTTGTATACCACTGAAAGCAGGAGTTAAAACATAATGGATTGAGAATGTTCTGGATGAACAAATATTCTCATCATGCTGGGAGGGACTGAGGAATGACAGTTATTCCTATGCTTACCCAACATGACTGATGTTGGACTAACAGCCCCAGAACTTCACTCTTTTTACAAGCTAAACCCTGAAAAGGAAATAGCAAATTTACTGAGAATAACATACGCTACTAAATCAGCTTTGTTAATTACTCCAAAATCAATCCTTTTTCTGGATTGAAATATTCAAAAGCTGATGATGTAGTTGTTTGATATAAAACAAAAAGAAAAAAAAATGTGTAGCTCTGTTAATCCAGTGGATACTTAATATTCCCACAGACAGCCCATTGAGAAAAAGGCAATTTATGCAAAAGAAAGAAATCCTAGTGGTTTCACTAATCTCATTCCAATCATTCAGAAAAGTAACAACTATCACGTTGAAGAAGGAATAGGAAGCTCAGACAGAGCTGTATCTACATTCTTGGAGTATTGTTGAAAAATACTTCAGCGTGTCATGTCGCTAGAAGCCGGATATGCTTTGTCTTCACTAACCTGCAAGGCATTTATTTAGAGGAAATAAAGCCAAAGCCAAGGTCCTGAGTGTGTGTGTTAAACCATCTGCTGTTTGAAGATAGTGTTGATATTCAGACATGTGATCCTTCTTTTGCAGTTGAGTGTTTATTCAGTTAATAATGTGGCCAAATATACGTCATCATTTATACACTCCAAGACATTTTGTCTCAAAACAAAACGAAGAAAAAAACCACAACCAGTCAAAGCCTGAGAAAGAAAAATAGAGTGCATGAAAACACAGATAATTGACATTTATGATAAATGTCACAGATGCTGTTCCTTTATCAATTAGCATTCATACTGACTTTGCTAAACACAAGATTTGGGCAGTAAAAGAGATTGGATGAGGCGCATTAAGCTAAGATTAATGCTGGTTTCAGGGCTTTTTGATAAAATGTAAAACTTGTTCAGTTACATGCCTTTTGGCATTGCTCATGTTACTCGGTAGTCACTTTGAAAATATGCACAGAAAGACAGATAAGGAGAAGACTTCTAGTATTGATGTCTCTGGGGAAACCCTGAAGATAAACAAAGAACTAAGGCAAAGGTATCTTGTCTTCTCTCGCTGTTCACAGCTTAAACAGTTTCAATTCCAAGAAGTGACTTACAAGAACTTCATAGTGCTTTGAAAAAATATTTATACCCTTTGAATCTTAATATTTAAATCCCCATAAACGGTGAGATGGTTCTAACAAATTGGACATTTGATTTGTATTTTTTTTTAACCCCCAAAAGACCCTGAATAGTGTGGAAAGCTAAGTGATTCAGTCCCCTTTACCCTCATACCCCTAAATACAACTCCCAGCAGGAGTCCAACTGTGAAATTTCATTCAAGCATATTTCTATAAAAGTTCTGTAAAACATCACAGGTTTGATGGTGAACATTACTGAACAGACATTTATACAGACCAATGAATACAGCCAATCTGTGCTTGAGTTTTTCTGCAGTGAAAAACTCAAGCATAAAGTTGATAGGAAGGTAATTGTTTTTTTTTACCATTGTACAATACTTTGTCTTAGTCACACTGAACCTCAATAATACCATTGGTGGGTAGCAACTTGCTACATGTACTTGAGAAACTTTTATAGAAAAATTTACTTTAAGGAGTAGTTTTTCTGCACAATGCTTTTTCACTTTTACTTGAGTAAAAATATGATAAAGTATCACTGCTCTTACTTAAGTAAAATGTCAGGCTACCCATCATGAGTAACTTTACTTAAAAAACACAAAACTGCAGCAGAGAGACAAACACCTACACAATGTCTGAGACATCTGTTTAGTACTCCATCTTAATTGTTTTAATGTTATTTACCATTTGTTTATGTCCTTATATATCATTTGAAATGCAGTTTACTATATCATATAACAGTATGTAACTTACCATATTCTCACCTACATCGATGACATACTATCGAAATGATTTTTTAATTACTGAATGGTATATATTGATTTGTTTCTCATTTTCAAAATGAGCAGCTAACTTTATGTTTTGCAAATATACACATTAAATCAGATGTTATCATCAGTTACTCAGTACTTGAATAGCCTTGTTCCCAATTACTTTTTTACTCTTGATTGAGTGATTTTTATTTGGATGGCTACTTTTTACTTTTGCTTGAGTAAAAATATGATGAAATAATGCTTCTCTTACTAGACTACAGTTTTTTGGGTACTCTACCCACCTCTGAATAATACATACATTTATAGTAAAACTGTGAGGAAGTAATAAAATAAATAAAAACCCTTTTTCATAAGTCACTGTGAATGTAAAGTGTAAAGTTGCAGCTCTCTGGGTCAAGATTCACCCAAGGCAGCCATGTCTTTATAAATTACTTTCTATAACTAGCATTTTAAATAATTCATCCTGCCAAACCAAACAGCTGTTACATTTCCATCAGGCGTTGCTGTGGTAAACACATTTCTAAGTAATGTTTGCGATGTGCCTACCAAAGCTCAACTCAAATATTCAACAGCTACTGAGACCTTTCAGTGTCACGAGATGGAAACACAGTGTTTCTGGAGAAACCCCACAGAATGCTCCTTCATGATGCCAGGGCGAGATTTACAGATGGAAGTATGCTAAAGGTCAGCGGCCTAATCTCATGAGTCGGGTTTTATCAACCAGTAAAGAACCACAGCCCCTGAGTCAACAATATTGATTTGCTGCCACTGATCCCCATGACATGGACATGTCCCTGGAGACAAAGGTCAGGCACAATCACATGATCCTGCAGGCTGTCAGAAGCTCAGTCAAATGTCTGCATAAAGAGACATTTTGGGGATTCAGCTTTAACTGGGGAGGGCAATCCTGATGGTGCCGGACTAAAAAGATCTTTTATAGAAACTATAACCAGATGCTTCATAAGGTAACCCAGTCTGCTCTGCTCTTCCTGGAGCTTAACCCACTGCCTGGCCTGAAGCATAACTGCATAATGGATCTGTGTCCCCTTTCTTTTTTTAACAGCATTTCACAGACACTAACATGTTTATCCAGAGCATTTAAAGAGCCTATCCAGAGATGTATTTCTTTATAAACAACTGACTGTGGCAGTAAAAACAAAAACACACAGCCGGTAAATTAGGTTAGGATTTCAAAACATTCAGACTATTCAGAAAACGCTTAATAAAAAATAAACTGCTTACTCCCATACACTGCTTTGTGGCCATTTGAGTTAATGGCAACACCAAAGGCACCATAATTATTTGGATATATGTAGATATTTGTAAACATATTGGCGAAGAAGGCAGATTCTGAAGCATTTCAGTTGCAAGCTGATGTAATTTAGCTGAAGTTTGACTGATGGCTCATGATAGAACCAAGTTAACATCTGCCTTAAAGCCTCTTATTGGTTTTACACTTTTAGCACACAATTCGAGCATCTCTCATTTAGTATTAAAAAAAACAAACAGAGAATGATCAAACTTAAAGATAAATCAGTTTTGACCTAATCTTCTTTTTTTTTTACTCATTCAGTTTAAGTCTCCTTACACTTTTAATAAATAGGTGGATGATATGGACTCTAAATCTACTATTTTGTGTTACAATAACTGATTAGATACTTCTTGAGATACTTTGAACAGTAAGAAAAAGCATTTAAAGGAAGGATGTGGTAATGTAATAGTAAAACAAAAAGAAACAATTATCATGTGGATGCAGCAAAATGAGTGGTAGAGAAAAGTATGGCTGGAAGCTTTAACAGGAGAAACTGTGCAATGTGACAGACATGGGGGATTTAATAGATAATTATAGAAATAACAAAGGCTGCCCGTGTCCTCACTAAGACTAAGAAAGTAGAGCACATCACCCCAGTTCTAAAGTCCTTACACTGGCTCCCTGTATCTCAGAGAATAGACTTTAAAATACTTCTGTTAGTCTATAAATCTCTGAATGGCTTGGCGCCTAAACACATCACAGACTTGCTATCAGTGTATCAACCCTCCAGACCACTCAGGTCTTCTGGCTCCAACCTGCTCTGCATATCTAGAACCAGAACTAAACATGAAGAAGCAGCATTTAGTTCCTATGCTCCACTTATCTGGACCAAACTTCAAGAAAACTGCAAAAGTGCGGAAAGCCTGAGTTCCTTTAAATCAAGACTAAAAACACATTTCTTCAGGATTGCGTCCGACTGTTCTAGTTAAACAGTTCAACTGAAACATCATTAGTTCAACTTTTTTATTTCCTTTAGTCCAACGGTTTTTAATGTTCTTTTTTGTTTCTGCAGTTTTTTTTCCTACTTGCTTTTATTCTGTTTTATTTTCCCATATTTTAATCATGTAAAGCACTTTGCATTGTCTTTGTACTGAATTGTGCTATATAAATAAATTTGCCTTGCCTTGGCCACTTATTTTAATGTTTTTATCTGCTGGACTATGTTGGTCAGACAAAATAAGAAATGCGTTGCTCCTATGCTCATCCTCACATGCAGGGATGGCTTGTGGTTGCTATGGCCAGGGTTTTTCTCACGCATTTCCACGGCTGTTTAGTAACCAACCACAGCAATTTTCTGTGTGATCCAGCGCCCTGTTTTTAACCACCAAAGCAACAGATGAACTGCTGATCACAGCGTGACAGTCTCTAATTGGGGACATTTCCCAACTTTGATGAGTATGCTGGTAAGAAGAGGCTAATTGAAGTTGAACAGAGGGAGATGATTAGATGTTATCTCTTACTTGTCCTGTGTGACATGCTCCCTGATGGCTCCCAGGCTGCCGGTGCCCTGCAGCAGCCTGCAGGTTGCCAGGTGCCGCTGGTACTGCTCCTTCAGGCAGCCGTTCTCCGCGCACAAGTCGGACACTTGCTGCTCCAGCTCCTCTATCCGTCCTCTCTGCCTTTCCAGCAGCTCCTGTTGGGTCTCGATGATCTTGTTAAGCTCCTTCAGATATTCCGCAGCCCTGGTAGGGTTCTCGATCGGACAATCCATGTCGTCCCTTCACTCCTATCTGGTTCTTTTCGCCGAGCTTTCTCCCCGTGGAAGCCGTGGGGGAGACAGCTGCTTTAGTCCTGCTTGGCTTTAGGCGCAACAATTCTGCAGGTCCAGTCTTTTACGCCGCGTCATTGTTTTGCTTTTAAGTCTTTCACTTTAAAAGAGACAAAAAAAAAAAAAAAAACCGCAGATATAAATGTATAAATGTTCCTAGACCAAGCGCGCCCTGGTCACCGCGAAGCTACACGCGTGGAAAGCCGTGGATCAAGTAGAGCTGATGTTGATGAACCCAGCTGACTGGCCGCTCAGATCTGACTGTTCCCCCTGTTGGCAGAGCGCTGTGACATTTCTCCATGCTCTTCCCGTCACTTTTCGTAAACAGACGCTGGCCATTCAGTGGGCGGGGCCCTCAAGTTTTATGAAGCTGCGGCTCCCTGAGGGCGCTCAAGGTTTTCATAAAGAAAACGACCCTGTTTAGGAGGAAAATATGTGGATGGTTCAACTTTGCTGCATTGATGAGCTTTGGCTCCCAGTAACGCAGTCATCTCACTAAAGCACAACATATCTTCAATGCACAGGCGTAGCCAGAACATTTTTATAAGGGTGGCCAGGAAATAACCAATGTACACTGAGCGGGGCCAAAAGTTGATTGGCACCAGAACCTCAGGGTCAACCTACACCAGGCCGGGAATGGTAAATGTTCCTAGTTTCAGCGTGCAAGGCAGTATATACAGTATAGCCCATCCTTGTCCTGCACATCCTTGTGATGGTTGTCATATGGTGTAATTTTCTATTACTTCAAACTATAAAATGCTTGCAACAAACTAAATTATAATAAAACAAAAATGCTTTCTGTACACCAAACTACGACGTTCCTCTTATATTTGGCAAATTTATGTTCGAATATTTTGCAACAATATGTTGCGGTGCAGGATGGGTTTTGCATCTGTACTGTATACATTAATGGTGTGCAAAATAATCGTCATGATGATGCATCGTGATTCTAATTTTCGTGATCTACTGCATTGATTCTTGATGCCAAGTATCGATTATTAATTCTAAAAAATAAATAAATAAAATTGCATGAATGGTTGGCGATCATCAGCCAAAAACAAGTGTAATACAACTTCCAGTCCATTAGATGTCGCTGTGGATGTGTTGACACACGCTGCCTTGTGTCACAAGCATTTCTGGCCGCGGGATACTGCGCCGAGTCATGCAAAAACAACACATGGAGGAGAAAATATTGCAATGCATCACAATAATTCAAGTATTGTGATGCATCGTGATAGAATCGCATCGTGGCCTGTGAATCTTGATTCGAATCGAATCGTGACTTCTTTGGCAATACCCACCCCTAGTATACATGATTCCATTTCATTGCCCACATGCCACCTAGACTGGCAATGAATGCTTACACACCACTGAGCATCATGTATTCATTCTTGAAGAACTGCCTTTCTGCCTCTATATTGAATTGTTTTATGTTGGTGTTTTTACAACACTCGAGTTTACATTGTACACCTTGTGTGAGTGGGTGTCTGGCTGGCTTCATGCAATTGTGAACGTTATGCAGCAGCAGTCACTGTGGCCAAAGTCAACAAAACCGTATTATAGAAGTCTTGGTGATGGTTGTCGTGTGATGATCAGTCAATCCACATTATGTAATTGTATGGTGTTTCACATTTTAAGAGCAGTTTTAATGCGCTTCTATAATTCCGGAGGGTAGGTGCACGGTAATGGGCCGGCATAGATGGAAAAATGCCAGGGCTGAAAATCATTCCCAGTCCGAGCCTGATCTACACTGTTCCTGCAGGAACAAGCATATCGTTTGAGTCAGGTTTGAGCTCTGAAGCGAACATCTTTTCCATCGTCATTACTTACCTACTTTTATCAATATCGTTCTGCATGAAATTGATATTTACAAGTACAAATACCTACATAAATTGATAATTTAATAGGTTTTTATTAGAATAGTTATTTACAGAATCTATGATTTCACTTTCAAGAGCATGAATTCTGTACTAATCTCTAATGTTGGTATATTAATGTGCATAATTAAACACAGTGTTTTTGTTGTTAAGTATTTGTTATTATATATTAAATTAAAATGTTTTGAATTTTCTACTTAAGAGAAAGAAATGGTAGGGATGGCCATGGCCACCCCTGGTCCCCAATCTAGCTCCGCCCCTGATTTATTTATTTTTTTCTTGCATCCTCAGGTAATATTCCTTTAAAACAAGAAGATTGAAAAACCCAAGGGTATTTTTTTTGTGTTTTGCATACTTTAATCATTCAGATTATCATTTATTTTCCAGTTCAAAAAGCAAGCCCGATATGTTTTTTAACCTAGAAGTAGATGCTAAACTGCTAAACTACTAAAATTTGAAAAAGCCAAAACAATTATGGCAAAAGTTCATTCACAACATTTGTTCATTCAACCACTACCTTATGTGATATGGAAAAAGAAATATCAGTAAAGATATTAGTACAGCCTAAAAAACTGATTGGTCAATGCAGCCAATAAATTGGGTGAATTCTACCAATCAGGTGTGTAGTAATGTATCCAACCATGCTTTTGGTTAAAACAACCAATCTAATCAACCTAATATGGTAGTATTTTTTAACCAATCTATATTGGTAAAAGGGCAAACCAGTACAAATTGGTCATTTAGACGAAAATATGAGTTAATTTGTGTAACTACATTCAAAGATGGAGCTTGAACCGACAACCCTTTGGTTTAAGGACAAACTTCTGCATTGAACACCATTGTCGCCACTAGGTCCATAACTATTACACACTTGACTACAGCCAAACATTGAGAGTTAACCATCAATGACCATTGGTATTGGTTGTTTTAGTCAGTTAAATTGGTTGATCTAAAACCAATGGCTTGGTCAGTTTCTGACCAATATACTACTTAATCTAAACAAAATTGATCTAACCAACTAGATTGTGTAAGAAAATTGTGGACCTTTAAAAGTCTGGTTCATTATTGGTTACACCTTTCAGATACTTTAAGGAAACATAATCTGTTTGAGTAAATATACTCAATGATAAACTGGATGGAAATGTCTCCCATTATACCAAATACAAGATGGCATCTTTGTCCAAGACACAAATGGATTTTTGTGCAATCCCATACTTTTTAAATTGAATAATAAATAAACACATCTACCTTCATAGATGAGCTACTTGGTGTACGATCTAATCTTTTGTAATTTATTGCATTAATTAAGCATTATTCATGATATTTTTAGTGATCTCAGATTACCTTTAATCTTTTTAGCTGCATGTTATATCTAAAGATTCTTTATAATGAACCTGGAGTCCATTCTTTCGTCAGCTGCATTTGAAAAGTATTTTGATGCTTTTAGCAGTTTTCTGCTGGGAAACGCTTGTTTCTGCCAATGTTATCTTAACACATATTTCATCTGTCTGTAGAGGCGTAGCCAGAGAATTTTTATAAGGGTGGCCAGGCATCAGCCAATGTACACGGAGGGCTAGCAGAAAGTAAATAGGCACCAAACCTCCCAGTCAATCTACACTGTTCCAACAGGAAAATTAATGAGCAAAATATCCATGTTTTCTAAATAAAGACAAACTATACTTTCCCGCAGCCTTTACTAACAAATAGATGAATATATTCAAAAATCCAGGCTTTCTAGATAAAAGGTATAATGGATAAAATTCTTTCAGGTTTGAGTTCTAGGCGAACGTCTTTTCTAATGTCATCATATACCTACTTTTATCAGTAATCATTCTGCATAAAATTGATATTTACAAGTTCTAATATCCACATAAATTGATTAATTAATAGGCTTTTATTAAAATAGTTATTTATCTATGATTTCACTGAAGACACCTAGATGACTTACAGAGACACATCGTTTTGTCTTTGCCTCATAAAACACAAAATCTATTTCTGCTAGAATTCTGTACTTATCATCTTTAATGTTAGTATATTGATGTGCAGAATTAACCACAGTGTTTTTGTTGTCAAGTAATTGTTAATATATGAAAAATGTAAATGTTTTGAATATTCCTCTTGAGAGTTTTACTGCTGCCTCCACCTGAGAGGGAAATAAATGGTAGGTGTGATTATGAATGAATGAAATTGATTTATTTTTTATTGAAGTTTTGTCCCCAGCCAATTCAGGTTTCTATGATAATATAAACATTTAAGAGGTAGCCACAGGTCATGATGTCAGTCACTTAATGTTTTTTTATGAATAAGATAACTCTTGATGGACTGAAACCGTATTTTGAGCCATCTATATTTTGAGTAAAATAAGGTTGTTCTTTATGGATTGTTTTTAGTTTTTTAACTGAAGCTGATCAGAGCTCATATAACCGTTTTGTTAAACTTTTATTAAGCTAATATCAATCGTCCAAGCAAAGTTAAACTTTCTCACTATTCAAAACAACATTGGGCAAAACATGAGAATGAAGCTAATTCCCTTTTTCTGGACATAAAATCAGCAACAAAACTAATCTTGGGCACAACTGAGCAGATTTTCTTCCTTTTTTGGAGCCCATGAGGGAAGGGTGTCGTGGGCAGTGATCCACATCTCACATATCCAAAACTGTCACTGGGCACATCTGCATGTATGAGGGCAGAGCTGCAGATTCTGGACAGGCTGAACTCAGTGTGAGCTCCCAATCGGCAGCTCTGTCAAGAAAAAAAAAAAAAAAAAATCAATGCTGAAGTTTTCACTTGGTGGCTATCTCTTCTCCTTCTGGCACTGGGTGCCCTCTGAGACTTCAATGCAAACTAACCACAGTGGGGGAACAACAACCAGTCAGCCAATTACACACACCACCCCTGCAGAATGGTGTTACAGACATCTGTTTAGGAGCAGAGAGGCAAATCAATAGAGAGACTGAGCAGTGGCAGCTTGCATTAGTGGCTCTGTTTAGTGCAACTCATAGGAGATAGGATGAGGCATTTTAATATCTGTGGAAAACCCATTCATCTCTGGATAATCTCTTTTATTTAAATCATTTATAAGTAAAATAAAAGTAAACTATGAAACTATTTGCATTTATTACCTGCCTATATTAATATTGAAAAGAAAGTGCACCTACTTTGAGTTCCATGGATAAACACTTCAAGGATTTTAACATGTTAAGATGCTCGGAAATTATTTAGATTACACCTCAAGTGAGCAAACTTGTGTAATAAATAAGATGAAGCAACCAAAAAAAGCCAGACTTGGAACTTGCAATGATCTTGTATAACATGTTTTTGTGCTATAACAGCCTGTATTATTTCTGTTTCACATTTCAGATCCTTCTTTTTATTTTCATCTGTCTTG